TGTTTATGTATATATGTATATCTACATAAATATATATATATATGTATATGTTAATTATATAGTAATAATTTATTATTGTATTTCTATCCTTTGTTTATTTGGTTGTTTGTTTGTTAAACAAACAAACAATCAAATAAACAGCAGCAGCAGCTGCTGCTTCAGACTGCTGCTGTAGCTGCTGCATAAACAGCAGCTGCTGCAGCAGCAACTGATTGTGTGCAGCTGTGGAGAGCAGCAGGAGTAGCAGCAGTAGCAGCTGCAGCAGCAGCAGCAGCACAGCAGCTGCAGTGTAACAGGAGCAGCAGCAGCATTTGGGTATGCGCTCTAGAGGCAGCAGCAGCAGCAGCAGCAGCAGCAGCAGCAGCAGCAGCTTAGTGTCGATGTTTCAATTATAAGTGTTTTGTTTGCTAAAGTTTTTTAAGTTTGTTTATTTGTTTATTTTTAATTTAATTAAATTTAATTTATAATCAGACGATTTCTTTAATAAGTTAATTCTTCTCACGCTCCCATCTGCCTCGATATCGCTGTAACACCAGCAGCAACAGCAGCAGCAGGTGCTGCTGCTGCTGCTGCTGCTGCTGCTGCTGCAGTTACTCGAGTGTGTATGTGTTTGTATATAAAATAATGAAGACGTTTGATTTTTTAACGCAAATATTTTTTATTATTTATTTTAAGAATTAATTTTTAAGGTTTCTGCTGCCCCCGCCCACGCTGCTGCGGGCGCCTGTGCGTTCTGCTGCTGCTGCTGCTGCTGCTGCTGCCGCTGCTGCTGCTGCTGCTGCTGAACCTATTGGTGTTATTGTGATGTTATTGCGAGCATCTCGCTGTCTGCCTTATTTATTTTCTTTGTCTGCTTCTTCTCGCTGCTGCTCTCATATCTCCTCCTCCTACTTACGCCAGCAGCAGCTAACCAACTGCTGCAGCAGCATCAAGGAGTCATTGTTTGTGTGTTGCTGCTGTTGTTGCTGCTGTTGTTGTTTGCTGCTGTTGTTGTTTGCTGCTGAACCTGCTACTGATCCTGCTGCTGCTGTTGCTGCTGCTGTTTCTGCAGCTGTTTGCTGCTCTTACTGGTGCTGCTGCTGCTGTTTGCTGCCGTTACTGCTGCTGTTGCTGCTGCTGTTTGCTGCTCTTACTGCTGCTGATGCTGCTGCTATTACTGCTGCTAATACTGCTGCTGCTGCTGCTGCTGCTAGTACTTCTGCTGCTGCTGATGGTGATATTGCTGTTTTTGCTGTTGCCAATAATGCCGCTGCTGCTGCTGCTGCTGCTGCTGCTGCTGATACTGCTGCTGCTAGTTCAACTGCTGCTGCAGATACTGTCTTACTGCTAGTGCTGCTGCTGCATCAGCTGCTGTTGCTGCTGTTGCTGCTGTTGCAGGTTGAGATGGGGGGTCAAAAGAACGCGACAGCTGCTACTGGGGCTACTGCTCCTGCGGCTTCTTCTGCTGTTGCTGCTGCTGTTGCTGCTGCTGCTGCTGCTGGCCCCGTTCGTCTGTCTCCTGATGAGTTTTGGGGTTTAGAAGGGCCTGTAATCGGAACGCACGATGGGAGGTGCATCTTTTTGTGTTTTGTTTGCTTATTATATTTATTTATTTATTTATTTGTTTATTTAATCTGTTTGTTTATCTTGCTTTGCTTCAAGTTTATTATTATTATTATTGTTTATTACTTATTATTATTATTATTATTATTATTATTGTTATTATATTTTATTAATTGTTTTATTTTTTGTTTTTTTGTGTATTTTTATAGCGTCGGCGCTCTGTCTGACATTGTTATTGCATTTGTTTAGTATTGCGCTTATTACTGTAATAATAAGTCATAATAATAATATAATAATAATAATATAATAATATAATAATATTATTATTAATAGAAATTAATATTATTAGTATACATATTTTGTTTGTATTATATTTATTTGCTTTTATCTACAGATAACACACAGACAAATATATATATATATATATATTTATATTTATATATTTATATATTTATTGTTTTTGTTTGGCGAGTTAACTTAGGTTTCACTTGGACGAAGTGCTGGCTTGCACATTGTTATTATCTCTAAAAGAGTTCAAGGGTGCGAGGATATGCCGAAGCAGACAGCAGAAAGACTGGGATCGCTGCTCCATTGTTGTTGATGTGGGGGGCGAGTATTGCCCAAAGAAGAGGCGGTTTGATCATCATCAGCCTTCATTTACACATACTTTTGATTTTAGTCGCTTCGAGGTAAATCGGGATCGGGATCGGGATGGGGATCGGGATCGGGATCGATCCCCACAAGAGTGTGGGGTTCGATCCCACGATGATCAGGATCGATCCCAACAAGATTGTGGGGTTCTACCCCAGCATAAACGGAGTCGATCCCAAGGCAGACAACCCGTCACCAAACTCAGCAGCGCCGGTCTCATCTTCAGCCACTATGGAGAACAAATTCTAAGAGAAAGATATGGTGTGTATAAATAAACAAATATATATATATATATATTTATATTTATTTATTTGTTTATTTGTTTGTTTATTTATTTATTTATTTATTTATATGTTTATCATATATATTTTTGTATATAAATGCATTTTCTATGGTGTATAGATGTATATATTATAGATATTTGATATCATAAATAATAATATATTTGTTTGTTTATATGTTCAGGCATAGAGGATGAGGAGTCTATTAGACAAATAATGCTTGCGCTGTATATTAATCTTGTCGAGTGTATAGATGCAGTAGATAACGGGGTAAGTATATCTGCAGATCCTTTATATGTTGACCCCACAACATTAGCAAAGAAAGTTAAAAACTTATATCCATCACAAGATGAAGAAGAAGAAGCAGATAAACTGGGTGCATGCGGCTACTGGCGTTGGCTGCAGCAGCGAGCGCAGCAGCAATATAAGGAAACACCAGAGGGTGCAGCAGCATTTGCTGCTGCTGCTGCTGCTAAAGGTAAGGGCTGGGCTCCTGCATGCAGCTTTGTAGATATACCTATTATAGGGGGGAGCGCTGAAGCTCTTTGTGCATTTCGTCTTGCTCTAGCTTATGCTGATGAGACCTTTAGAGACGCAGTTATTTATTTAAGAGACAAGTGGCTCCCTGCTCGCAATATTGTTAAGCAAGCTATTCTTAACTCTCCAGCCCCAAAAGAATTTCAAGAGCATGTGCTTGAACTCGCCAAGTGGGCCCCCTACGAGGTATATAGCTTCTTGCTGCTGCTGCTGCTGCTGCTGCTGTTGCTGCTGCTGCTGCTGTTGCATTTGCTGCTTTTCCTGCTGCATTTGCTGCTGTTGCTGCATTTGCTGCTGTTGCTGCTGCCGCAATTGTTGCTGCTGCTGAATTTGCTGCTGGTGGTGGTATATTTGCTTTTGCTGCTTGATTTGCTGCTGCTGCTTGATTTGCTGCTGCTGCTTGATTTGCTGCTGTTGCATGTGCATTTGCTGCTGTTGCATGTGCATTTGCTGCTGTTGCTGTTGTAGGATCACGTGTATAACCTTGAGCGCGAGTTAGGATTGAGTGAGAAGCTGAAGTTTGCGGTGTACAAAGCAGAGAGGATTGAAAAAGAAGGTTTAAAGGTTAGTTGGAGTATAAGGTGTATACAAGAAGAAGGTCAGCAGTTTAAGTGTAGACTTAGACTAAGAGAGGAGTGGGGGGGGCTTAGAGATGAAGCTCTTGGGAAGGCTGTGCTTGCAAACAGCAGCAGCAGCAGCAGCAGCAGCAGCAGCAGCGGCGGCGATGCAGCAGCAGCAGATGAACCCATACGCCCTGAGGATTTCGTCTTCTGTCATTCAACTGGCTTCTTAGGGATAACGAAGACGAGGGTTAGATATAATTAAATTAATTAAATTAATTAATTAATTAAATTAATTAATTAAATTAATTAAATTAATTAAATAATTTGTTTAAATGGATGCGAGGACATGCGCAAATTCATCCGTGTCTGCATTTGCATGCATTTGTAGCAGCCGGACTTACATATAAATATATATTTATATATACCTTTATATATATGTATATATGTTTATACCTGTATATATATATATATATATATATATTCATATCTGTATATATATGTAGATTTTATATATATATATATATATATATTTATGTATATGTATAAAGATATGTATCTCGATATCTTCACATATATATATACATACATACATATATATATATACATATATATATACATATAAATATATATACATATATACATATATATATATATTTATATATATATGTTTGTGTGTATATTCAGGCTGCTGCATACGAGATGGTCAGGCAAACACTGGAGGGAGCAAAAAAAGAAAATAAATAAAATTGTGTTATAATAAACAAATATAAATATAAATTATAAATACAAATATAAATATAAATATAAACAAATATATACATAATATATATATATATATATGTATATATATATATATATTAGAGAGATAGAGAAGAAGCAAGGAGACAGATGAGAAAGACATATTTTGTTTATGTCTGTTGTTTTAATTAAACAATGAAAAGAAGAGGACCTCCTCTATTGCTGCATCTTTATGCTGCTGCTGCTGCTGCAGCAGCAGCAGCAGC